AGAGATATTTGAGTTGATTTGCACTGGCAAGCCTTCATAATTCTTTGAGCATCCCCCCTTCTCCCAAAAATGCTTAGCTGGAATAGATTACGAGAGATCCAGACTAAGGAAATCTTACTGTGAAAGGTGGTTAGGCTGGTATAACTGAATTTGCAGTAACGCTTACGCTGGTGGGAGAAAGTATTATCACAGTGAAGTGTTCAAAGTTGTCAGTTCTAACTGGCTTGGTAGTGGTCTTAACTTGTGTTGCTGGAACCAGTATTCACATAGGAAGTATATGATTAAAATCCTGAGACAATCGATAGCTATGTCTTGACCTGTGTTCTTATTTGTTTCAGGCATACCTTCAGCAAGCCCAAGAGCTGGTTATACTTGAAACAATAATGCTTCAAACTTTAGGTATGTCTTTCTAAATACCTCCTGTGCAGCCAACTTACCATGAAGAAGTAATGGGACTCAAGTAACTAGATTTTTGATGTGCTATTGTTACACTGGAATTTTGCTGGTTTTCTATACAACTGCTGACCTGTTAATTTAGTTTGGTATTAGCAGTTCTGTGGTATTCACTTTGGAGGAAAAAAGGTATATCTATACTTGTGAAATAGATGTTTCTGACAGTTTGATGGGGTAGAAATATCTACCCTTCCAAATAGATTTTACTCCAGAGTAGTAGCTACCTTGATATTTCTTCATATAAGGTAACACATTATGCTAGGTTAGCTGTGTATGTGTTCTGAAGCCACGGGGAAGAGCTTTATACCAAGTGCTCTTCCCCATTTTGCCGTCCAGTAGAAGAACTTTATGTAATTGAGCAGGGTTACTACCTCTGAACATCACGAGTCTTAATGTAACCATTTAATGGATTCAGCTGATTCCAAAATTTGAAATGGAACTTTTCTGACTTCAAAGTAACATGGAGACAATCACAGCTAGCAGGCTGGAGAACACTCAGCTATTCTTAAATACCACTTTGAGTCTGTAGGTTGTTTGTTTTTTTGTTTTTTTTTTTTTTAAAAAAAGCTAACAGTAGTGACCTAATTCTTAAAATAGTGTCACAAGGAAAGGCTTCTTAAGTCACTGACCTACAAATTGACTTAATTTATAATTTCATAGATGCAATATGTTTAAGGCCCAGAAATCAATGAATGAAGTGCATGTGCACACGTGTGTATCTCACTGTCTGTAATACAGCTTTTACTGACTTATTAATGTACTAGGAACTGTTCAGATATGTTCGACTTCAAAAATACAGTAACTTCCCAAGTATGTATGTTTTTAGGACTTGAGATTACTGAAGGAATGTCTTACAAATTGATCTTGAAATGGCTATACCATCTGCCATTGAAAAATATGAAAAAGTATGGAATAAAAGGCACTTAAATAGTGTTACTTGATCTTCAGTGCAAAGGTTTAGCAAGCATTTTAGGTCTGTGGGGAAAGGAAAGGAGTTTGGTTCTTTATTTAACAGAATGTATACATTTAACAGAAATATAGAGCTCTAAAATGTATTCTTAACTCCTCAGGTTTTGAGATTACCATTGAACATCCGCACACAGATGTTGTGAAATGTACGCAATTAGTGAGAGGTCAGTGACTTATAACCACTTCCGTAAGTCCTTTTTTACCTTTCTAGTAAAATTTGAAGATGATGTTATTTGTCTAATATGATCTTCACCAGCTATGTTACCCACAGAGTTTGTTTAAAGCTAATTACTAAAAGCTTGATCTTAACCTTTAGAGTCTGGTTCTCTGTCCTTTGTAATTTTTTTGCTTGCTTGCTAGCTTTGATTTTAATAATGTCCGTTCTATGTTTTCTTAAATGACAGAAGCAGTTAGTAGTGGAAAACTGAATAGCCAACTACTTAGTATTGTTCTGGGTTGATTGTTTTCACTCTGAAACAATTCTACCAAGTAAAGTTTAGTTTGTGTATTGGTTGATGGCTAGTGCTAGCTGTCTACCTAGCAAGTCTTCTTAGGTAATGAACTGGGGGATAAAGAGAGCGCATGGCGGGTCTGCTCACATCACGTGCCAGTGCTTCAAGATGTGACTATTCTTTTTCTGGAGCAGGGTGTGCTTACTTGTTTTGAATGGTAGCACAAAACCCCACCAAACCCTTTGTTAAACAATCATATCCTCTATCTTGTATGCAGCTCGTTCATGTGACTCTGGCTAGAAACCTGTTTTGTTCTTCAACATTTTTTTGTTGAATTTTGGCACACCTTCTTTAATTCTTAAATAGATTTCCTTTGGAGCTTTAAAAATAAAAAAAAGAAAAAAATCCTCACATAAGATGGAGGATGAAAAAATTAGGAAGTGGTTGTAAAAGCACCTAAAATAAGCTTTCCACTTTAATTATGTTCCTTAAATAAAAAGTGTTTGGAAATTATTAGACCATGGTTGTTAATCTTTAGGCATTAGCTGTTGTTGCACTGAAAAATGCAAAGTTAAGTGCTAAGGTTTTTTTTCTCTATAAAATACGGGAAAGTTAGGTGCAACTTAATCATGTTAACTAGATCTGTTCTGTAGTAACTCTGGAATCAAAGCTGTTCTTAGAAGGGAAAGTCTCTCTCCTGTCTCATTTCAAAGTAGCTTACTGGTGTAGTGTCTTCAGAGTTTGCTTCTGAGTATGACTGGTGCTGGGTGTAGCTTATTTGCATATAAAGTAGCTTTATTGCTATTCTTGCTAGAAGATAATGATTCTTCGCTTTCTGTCCAGCTTTGGTTGTGACTCGGTGCATCAGTCTAATTGCACCTAATGTCTCAATAGTCTGCATCAGTGTAGCTCTATAGGGTTTTGCTTTGGATTTGCTTAGCTGTTGGTCAATGTGAGCACGTATGTCACTGTTTTATGTGAGCCCCTGTGCTTCTGCTCAGTATTTGGGGCTGTGGGGAGGGGTGGCAGGCAGTGTTGTAGCTGCATCAGGATTTCCGCAAGTCTTATTTGGCTCGAGCCTACAAGAAGAAAGGCATACTGCTACACAAACGGTATTTCCTTTACTCAAGGGTAGATGCCACTCTTAAGACGGTCCAGCTTTTTCCTGTGTTTTGCATGCTACTTTTGTGTACTGACAAAATTCGTACATTGAAGGTACATGCTACTTTTAAAATGTGGCGTTTTAAAGCTAGTATTTAACATCAGCACAGTTTAACAAAATACTTAGAATCCAAAATGATACCAAGTCTTGAAATCTGAAGACTCCAGTGAGGGCTGAAAATCCATGTGCCTCAAGGACTGGTACAAAGTGAATGCGATGCATCCGATGCTTGAGAACCTACTCGCTGGAGTAGGTGTGCTCCCTACTATGTGTGTATGCAAACGGAATTCTTGTCAGCATATGCCCCTCCCAGGGGTGGTACAGGCTGTGAACACAAGGTTTGAGTACCTTGCATTAAAAACAACAACAAAAATCCATAAATTAAAAACATTGAGCATAAAATGTGTAGTCATGCATGCAAGTCAAGCAAGTAGAGGATAAATGCTGTGGAACGTTAGTCTTCTGTATTGAGTGAATCAAGGGATGGGCTTTTGGGCACTGTGATATATCTTCAAAGATGCAGTGGTATGAATTTAGTTCTCTCTTAACATTTATTTATCGGACAGTGTGTTGTTTTAATGTGAACAGGTGTAACGTTTAGATACCAAATCCTGAAGCTGTCAAAATACATCCAAGACTTGCTAGTGTTAAGCCTTTAGTGCTAAAGGGATTGACTGAGAAGATAAAGAAATGCAAGCTTGGTTCGTCCAGTTCTGGTAGCATGTCTTCTTGGGCAAAAAGCACTATTTCAGAAGGCAAAGAGAGAAGTTAATCACCTTTAATAAAAAAAGTTATCCAAGGCTATTATGATTAAAACCTTCAAGTATATGTTTGGGGGAAGAAGGAAGGGAAGAATATAATGTGGCTGACTATTTAAGTATCAAAAGAGAGACAACAGAGTTAGCTGAGGTGTGCAAGTGTACTTTACGGTTTGGCTTGGCATATGTGCAGTGAATTACCATGTGGTGAGAAGATGCCCTGGTCCCTCACACTTTTGCTGGCTAAATTTAATTAAGTGGCTAAGAGGATGGCTCATTCTCTATATCACTTTGTTGTCTTGCATCGAGGATAATGTGCTTTATGCTGTAACTGTTACCTGTATTAATCTGTAAGCTACCCCCTCTAAAAATAAAATGAAAAAAACCCTCAGGTTCTGTTGATGATACTCAAAAGATTCAGCGAAGTCCTTTGTCAGAAGTCTGTCTAGTCTACTCATGGCATACCAGAATCAATTGCTGGGGGCCAAAGCTGAACCAGTAAGTGAGAATTGGTGCAAATAAACGTAATTGCTTCAACATGCAACTAAACAAAAAGTTGAACTCTTCATCGCTAAGACTGAAAACATTTCTGAAGGTAGTATTAGCCAACACAGATCACCGTAGGTAAGGGGTGGCTGGATAGATACATAATGACTTACGATGTTCAGGCATAAGGTATCTAATTATTCCTTCTGGTTTTCAAAGATTCATGGGTTCATGAAATTGTTCCAGCTTTACAGTTTGGTCAGTATAGTAGCCAAGGAAAATGGTGTAGGCTCAGTCTTTTTTCTGCACCGTTCTTCCTCAGTGTCAAGAGACTGAGAAGAGGAGACAGGACCATCATTCCTTAGGATCCCACAGGTCCTCTAAGGAATCTGGAGGCAGTGGATCTGTGAAGGCCTGTCAGCAAGTTTCAGTGCCCGTTCCAAGGATGCTCCAGTACTGAAGAGAGAAGAAAAAAGGAGAGGAGAAAAAAAAAAAAACAAAACCACACCACCAAAAACTGTTCCTGGTGTCAAGCTGCCTTACTGGCTTGCATGCCAGTTGAATGATCAGCAGTGAAACTGCCCTGGTGCCGAGACCATGGAAGCATGACGTGGTCCTCTGGTGCAAAATCTGTCTGTTCCCAGCCTGCTTATGGTGGAACTTGAAGGGGAGGAATCTGTATCCTCATCTCCATCTTGGGAAGTCTTCAGTCATTCCTTTTTCTGTGTTGGTACACAACCTTCTTTTGGAACTGAAGATTGGATCCCAAGGATTTCTAGGATTGTTCTCGCTACTCTACTGGTTATCAGGTATCTTGAACACCCATGATACTTACTAATCTTTTGTGGAAATTGCACTGTCAAATTCTTCAAACGCACTATAGTATCTGTGTGCGCAGCTGCCACTGGTTAAATTGGGCTGATAAAGACAAGGCAGCAGAAGATGAGATGAATCTGAATTAATCTGCTTTTTCTGAGGGTATTCTGATGAGGAAAACTTAAATCTTGGTAATACTAAGTGGTGTGGAAAGATCTTAAACACCAGCTGCGCTCCAGCACCGCTACAGGTGGCTTTCACATTCTGAACTTTCACCTCAGGCTTTTACAGGCCTGTTCCCAAGGTCTAAATACTGTCAAGAACGTAAAGCCACCAGGACTGCTCAGACCTGAATGCCTACGCCGTGGCCATCTCCAGCCCTTTCAGATACAACAGGCATCCGCCAGCATAGCTCTGTTCGGGGCCTGTGGCTTTTTTCCTTTTGCGAGAAGGACTTCAGCAAGCTTTCTCTCTTCTGATATTGACTGGCTTATCTGCAGCCCCCTCTTTCTGGGGAATGCTTATGTACGTTGTCAGGGTCCTAAGCACGGCCAGCTGCCCCCCACCCTCCTAAGGGTGACTTGGCAATCACATTTTCATGATTATCTCAGGATCCAAGATAACCTGGTGTTGAAGAAAAGACTCGGATAACTTGGAATTTAACCGGGTGAATTGTGTGGCTATGCCTGGTAAAAAGCACTTTGGTTTCCAGTTGGGAATTTCTTGGAGACAGGATCCTTTTGGAAGGTGTATCGGACAGCAAATCCTGTTTCAAAATCTTGATTACTACTTTAGTAAACCACTGCCTTATGGTTGCTTCTGCAGCAGTGAGGCAGGGTGGGTGTTTTAAATCACTCCTGAACGATAAAATATAAAACTTGATTATTAATGGCTGGCATCAGTCATCAGTCTGGCAACTTGTCAGTTATAACAGCGAAGCGCTGCTGGCTTGTTTTAGCCTCTGCTTCAAGATTTTTTTTTAATTTGGAGATGCACTTTCCACTGCTATAAAGGAAATGACACACCAAAATATAGCAACCAAAATTAGTTAGCTTTAATTTTAGTGATGGATTCTACTAAACCAAAGCTGTCCTAAATGTAAGGGAAGAGTCTGGGACAGATGTTTTCCCTTGTGTCATCATAGGCTTTAGCTGTGAGCTGAAATTTCTTGCTGGTTTTGGCAATGATGGTTATTTAGCTGTAAATAAGTTGAAACAGTATCATACTGCTTGTAGTGTAGGTAAGGTATTTAGCACATTAATTTTTGATTGAGGCTAAAATGTGTGTTTCAAGATGTGATTCTTTTCTTCCAGGTGTGTGTTTTGATTTACTCAACTTTCAAGCTGATGTTAAATAGAAGTTTTCTGGCATCTGTTTTTCTTCCTTGTTCAAAAGGGACATTTCAGTGAGAGTAGAGATGCTTCTTGGTCCGGTCCCTTAATTCAAACCTGTTGTAACTTTACAGAATATAGAAATCATTGAAGATCCTTTAAACATTACTTTGATGAAAAATGAAGAGCAAGACATCAATTTCAGTCTTACTCAACCATTCCGTACTTCCATTTGTTTTGTCATGGTAGTCTCATTTCCCTTGTTCTTGTTGCGGTAATACTGCCTTACATTTTTTTTGATGGGAGGGAGAGGAAAAGGTTAAACTCCATGGTTATCTGGCATGCAATTACCATTATAGTTTGCAAACTAAATATTATAGTATAACACTGTTGCATTGTCTGTTCACCTTTTTGATTATTATGGATTCGTAGAATTTGTGTGTGGGAACGGCTCCTGTTACCTTGCTACTTCCATGTTCTTCTCGATTATGGCACTGCCCGGCTGTGTAGCATAAAGACAAATCTGATTTATACTCCTTGGCAATCATTAGAAGTCAAGTTAAATCACATATTTTTATGCTTTCTTAAACTTTAAAAGCCATTTCAGTCTTTCTCAAGCTTTGCGGAAAGATTATTATTAAAATAAAAGTTTAACATTGTTGCCTTTGACATAAAATTCAACACTACACTTTCTGCAGGTAGCACTGATTTCAAGTGATAGTGTCAAAGTAAGAATTCAATGAAGGCTGCATTCAATCTTCAGTTAGAACCGTTGTGCCCAGCTATTCCGTTAGATGCATGTTACAGTAAGTTCTCTTACCTGAGTGAGGAGCGTCGGGGTGTCACTGGCGGGGGTCAGGGCTCGACGGCCATACCAGCCAAAATCGTTGGCTTTTCATTGCTGGCACGTTGCAGTCTTGCGTGGTTTCTTTCCTGACTGTAACCAAAATGAAGCGCTTTATTTCCTCTCGAAACTTCGCTATAGGTTTAACAAAAGCGGAACAAAATGTTACGAGTCCGGTGCTCTTAGAGAGAGCAGAAAACTTGTTTAACTTTTTTTTTTTTTTTTTAAACCCTCTAGCTTGGGAGCTTGCTGTGTTGTAGGGCTTTGGGAGAGAGAGATATGGCTGGGTTTG